AACGCATACGGAAGCCTCCACGACACGGCTGCGAACAAATCACCCAATTGTAATATCTCGTTTTCGACTGTTTTCTTTGTTAGTTCTTCTTCTTTTTGTGCCAATATGGTTCTGATTTTCTGGTTTTCCATTAGTTTGAGTAATACGGGAAGTGAAAGAGAAATCAGATGATGAGATTGGATTAAAATTTCTCACGACGGTCGTCTGAGACACCTCCTAGTGTCTGTCTGATGCACTGATCCAATGTTTCTGATGATTTCCTTTCCTTTCCTTGCGTGTTCTTTTTTCTATAAAAAAAAAAAAAACGAAATGACGTAATTTACAGTAAAATATTTTTATTGGGTTCTTCTTATTTTTCATTATTGGCATGATGAGGATGCTTTTCACATTCACATTGAGATCGGCTGATCTTTGAAATTTCTATATTTTAAAGTCCTTTTCAGTCTGAGTGCCTTGCTCTGATACAATTTGAGATAATTGGTCAATCTTACAAAAACTTTGGCCAAGCCAATGGGAAACAAAAATTGTTAGTGGTAATTGGGAAATTTTGATTTACAAAGGCAATGGTGGAGCCGGTGCTCTTTACGAATCAAGCTGATTTAATCCGTAGCCATTGCCTGGAAACAAAATCCAAATGGGAAGCAAGTTCCCATCCATCCATCCATGTTTCAAACCAAGGATGTATCCTTTGCATGTCCCTTCCTGTTCATTTTAATACAATCTAACTCTGACCAATATTTTTCTTTCAACCAAATCTTGAAATTAAAATGATCCCCAACAACATTTGCCTTTTTAATTTTTAGTTTAATCTTCTTCTTTTTTTTATTGATCTTTTAATTTAAGCCAGAGTGGCATTTTAGCAATTTCTTCAAGCCTTGATCTATATATATATACACGATATATAGGAGTTAATGTCACTAATGATAGTTAAATTATGGTAAATGTTATTTGAATTTTAAAATTTTTATAAAATTTTTAATTAATGTAATATTTGAAATGTTATTTATTTTTTCATGCCATTATTAAAATTAGTTACATGAAATTTGAATGTTGTATTAATTAATAAATTTGTAGTTTAGACACCATTAAAATTTTTAAAATTTATCACATTAAATATTTTATTATAATTTAATAATCATTGAAAATATTAATCTTATATATAGGTTCATGTCTAATTACAAGCGACTTGAAATTCATAGTTTTAATACTTATTTATATACATTATCTTTTATTTTTTTTGAAATTCATAGATTTAATACCAATTTATATCTGAAGGGTTAAGAGAGAATTGGGGAACTCATGTTCAAATTTTTTTTCTAATTAAGAGCTAAAGACTACGTCAATAAATGATTGCAAATTTCGCCACTGCGTAGTCAATGGATTTTTTTTTTTTTTAATGATAGAATGAAGGTTTTTTGTATGTTATCAAAAGTTGGTTTAGTTTGAAATTGAATTTTAAAATGAAAAAAGTACAGCAAAAACCAAACTAAAATAATAAAAAAAAAAGCCCAAAAAAAATATCGAGTACTTAATTTTAGTTTTTTTTTCTCTATTGGCCAAAAAATTAGTTTCTCCTCTCATTTGTGTTTTTTGTGGTCACTTAATTTTTTTTTCTTAACAAATTACAAGTAATTTTTACTATTTTTCATATATATATATATATATTACCATATGTTAAAAAAAAAAAAAAGCAAAGGGATCAAAAGAAGCTTTTAAACAAAATTTTAATAATTAGTTAAATTTTTAATATTTTATTATAATTAATTAATTTTTTATTTTTATTGAGAATTCATATTTAAAATTTTATTTTCATCAAATTAAATATTTAAATATCTATTTTCACTCTAATTAAAATTTTAATTTAATGAAAATAGGTACTGATAATTAATTAACTTTTGTCTAATAAAAATTCAATTAAAAGTAAATATTTAAATGCTTAATTAATTACAATAAAATAATAAAATATTTAATTATTGTTGAATTTTTATTTCGACTTATTGAACCCTTTTGCCAAAATGACAACATAAGTTGATGATTCCAATTTCTATTATTGAAATATATATTATGATGTGAAATATGTAATAGACTACGGAAATATTGTCAACATATAATACTAAGAAATTAACTATTTTTTTGAATAATTAGAAATTAGTTGATCAAACAAGTAAAACAGAGGATGAAGGAAGAATCGACCAACACTTGGTTTAGACTTAAGAGAACAACCAAAACTTCATTCACCGTTGAATCGCCTAACTTTATTTTCTTTTTAATTATGTCTAAAAATAAAAGAATTTAGAATCCAACGAAAATGGAGGTAAACTCTCCACGTGTTAGATGCAAAGTAAGACTTTTCCATTTATAATTTTCAACGAGAAAAGGCCCCAAACTCAAAGACATCACTGCATCATTTTTTTTTCTGTTTGTTTGGCTTTTTTTTTAACCCTTATTCCATTTAAAAGAAAAAAAAAGAATGGCCAATTAATGTATATTTTGTGAAAATATTTTTAGTATTATTTTTTATAAAAATCATAATTTGAAAATTAAAAAAGTTATAAATATTAAGAATTGAATCTTAATTTACTAAATTTATTTTTATATCACATATATAAGGACTTGTTCAAAGATATATTTGATATTTTTATATGAAAATACAAATTTAATTAAAAAATATATAAATTTATGTTGAAAGGAACCGATTAAGTCTTGAAATTTTCACCGGAAAATGAAGAAATTTTATTGTTAACCAAAGTCAAATCTACAAGTCAATTGGGAGCCATTTCAGTTAAAGTGTAAAAATCTGGTGGAATATCCTTTTGTGGTGGTAAGGCGTGACGGCAGCAACCGGGGGGGAGCCTGGAAAAACCAATAGGTAAGACCCACGTGGATAGAATTCTATAGTTTCATACTTATGCAACTGCAAACTTCGCTTTTCCAAATGGCAAAGATTCCTTTCTTGTCTTATTACTTTTCCTTACATGACAACACTGCCCCTTTGATCCAACGATTCCATTTGACTAGCTTGGTCTTTTCATTTTTGTTTTCATTTTAAAATGTTTGCTTTTTTTTTTTTTATCATTTAAAAAGTCAGAATATACCGACATGCTCCTTGTACTGCATTTCATGTTTTCAACCCAAAAATATCTTAGCCCAAAAAAAAAAAAAAAGCCCAAAGTATATGTCTATAATATAAAGAAAAATTAATGCCCTATAAGTTTAGATTATCCCATATCTTTTTTTTATGTAAGATTCATTTTGACTCGAATCAATCTCAATTTTAATATTTTACATGAAATAATAAAAAATAAAATAGTTTATTGTGTCGAATAAATGTTTTTAATCAAAAATATATTTTTTAGGTGAAGAAAAACCTATTACTTATAAGCTCAAAATTATTCCCATCTCTTTCTCACGTAGGATCCATGAAATAGTATAATTTTTTTCTTTTAATTTAATCATGTCAATTGAGCGCCTTTAAATAAAGAAAACTCTCTCAAACAAAGAAGAAAAAAATACTTAAGTCTATTAATTGTATGTTATTACTTAATTTTTTTAAATTTAGATTGATGTATTTTTGTCAAATTATTTTTTGATAAATTTTTAGTTTTTATGTTTTTTTTTTTAAACAGCATGCTAAAATATTCAAAATTGGAGAAACTATTTGTGTGCGTTACAAACTTGACAACGTCGGATAGGACTAAATCAACCCTTTTTAATATAAATAAATAAAAGAAAAAAAGCCATGGTAGATGTCTATTATTTTTTGTTAAGTTACTGTTGAAGGTAAATTTAGTAATTTGTATATTTATATTATATAAATTATTAATAATTTATATATTTTATTATATTTTATATAAAAATTACGTGTATAATTTATATCGATATAAAAATATAAAATATATTTTTTATTTTATTAAAATTATGTATAATTTTTATTAAAATTTTAAATTATATTATTATATCTTATTTTAAATTATATAATAATCCAAATAGGAAGATTTTTTTTTTCCCAGTTTTGCACTCTTAATTAGTCTCATTGTTTGGTGGTCGGTAATGGAGCTGAAGATTGAAGTGACAACAGCCATATGGCCCTTTCTTCTATCTTCTTATCGTGTTGAAAATATGTTACAGTCAAACGGTTTTTGGATACATTTAATTTGAATACAACAAAGCTTGAAAATTACAGAAAAGAAATATATAAATGTTTTTGAAGTTTAATTTAAGTCACATTGATGGCTCAACAAACTTCGAAATTGATATCCCATGAATCCCTCCCTAAGCGTCGGCCAGTTTTGCATTTTAAGTTCTATATTGACTGTTTTATACCTTATTTTACACATTTCTAGTTTCGTGCATCATATAAAACTTTTGGATAAGGCTTTCAACCTTCTATTTCTTTTTTTACAATTATTTTATTAATAATAAATTTTTTGGATAAAATAAAAGTAAATGCATTAACATATTTATCCATTTCTGAATTCGATTTATTTTTCAACTAATACTTCAAAAAATTCGTATTAAAATTATGCCTAAAATTTTATTTTATATCTTATAATACCATAAAAAATTTTAATTTTATTTGAATTTAATTTTTTTAAATGATTTTAAAAGCGTATTATTTGACATGAATTTCAAGTATTTGAAAAATTATTCTCGAAATATTTCTACAAAAATAAAATTTAATTAAAAAAATGAACTCATGTTTTTATCCTTTAATCTGATTTTGCTTGCTAAAACTGTATTTAAATAATCAAATTGAAATTATCTCATTATTGTGAGTTACCTATTAAAGTAGAAGCCATTTAAATTTTAAAAAGAGAAAAAAAAAAAAAAAAAAAACGAGGTAAACGGTTTTGGATTTTATTTAAAAAAAAAAAAAGAAGAGAGGGGCAAATCAGACAATTTGACGAACCAGACAAACCAAAACCAAGACACGGCGGGTGGGACATGAATGTCATTGTCTTCTTGCTTCGCATATCACCAGTTTCATACTAAACTAAAGACTGTTCACAGAAGGGAAGAGTTAAGAATAGTCAAAAATATCTCATCGTCTTTAATTGGTACATTTCCAAAAATTCAATTCTCAGTCAAACAAATCTCTCAAAAACACCACGAGATTTCCATCCCTTTGCCTTAAATCTCAATTACGCGTCTTTTCAATCGTACTTGTTTTTTGGTCAATGTTACATTTTTAATTGCCATATTATATTCTGTTCAGCCTACTCTGCACTGTAACAACTACCCTGACTCAGTCCATCTTTTCTTCTTCTGATTACTACACAAACTTTTCTTTGGTTTTTCTTCAATCTTCTGCAGTTCGTACCCTGAATTCAGCCTACTCTGTTTAGCAGGTTTGTTCTTGGTTTGGCGCTTGTCCCATGTCATCTTGTGATAGTAGAATCATTTACTGGAAAACGTTTCTTTTTCATATGTCTTTTTTCTTTTATATTTTTTGGATTGATTTTACGTTTGGTTGGTATATTAAAAACCTAGGAATTCGATTGTTTCATTGCACAGATTAAAACTTTGCTCTTCTGTTTAAGTACTTGCAGATAATTCTAATATTGGTTTTAGTTTTTATCAGGTTTTTATATGGAAAATATTTGATTGCAAAGTTTTTTTTTCCCCACAAATTTTACTGCCTATCAAACAGAGCCTGGGCTAACGATGGGTTTTTTTGCATTTTTTTGGTTAAGTTCTTTGTTAGGTATATAAATTGGGTTATTGTTTGAGATAAAATTTAAGTCTTGGAAGAATAATGGGAGGTGTTTGTTCTGGTGGAACACAAGAGCGGAATATAAAGCTTGAAAACAAGACTACTACAGGATTTTCGGGGAAGCTCAAGTCAAAAAAGTGCTTTACTAAGCAAAAAGGAAATTCCAATTCACATTCCTATGCCAATGCCAATGACGATGATCTCGAGAGAGAGCGGCAAAGGCACGATTCTGGAGACTTCGGGTTGCAATTTTCCCGGGAACTGAAGCCATCAACATCCGCCAGGACATCAGCTTCTAAGGTATTGCTTGCTTTAACCATCCTGTAGCTTCAAGGTTGGAGCACATAGAAGTTTGATCTCAAAATCAAGTGGCATTGCCTTGATTTAAATTTTGACTGGAGGAGCAGTTGATGTGAAATGGAACGGTCTGAAGAAACAATGTTGATGATAGAGAATCCAAATTCATGTCTATGCATGGAACATAAATATTCCTGATTATGTCTAGCATTTAAGATCTTATCTGCTACAACTGAACTTTTTGGTGGCCTATTGGATTGTCATCTAACTTAAACTTTCATTTCATATTGGAATTTTATCAATGAGAATGCCTGTTTTTGCGAAGAATAATGGTATGAAGTAAAATGTTCGGTTTATAACTTTGATTTCTGTTTATTTAGGGGTAGTTGAATTCCTTTGGATTGTAGACATCTAACCCTGCAATTTCTTGCTTCATGTTTATTTATTTTTCCTTGTGTAGGTTTCCCACAGGAGCTCATTTCTAGGAAGAGCTGGCATTATAGGACTAGAGAGGGCAGTCGATGTTCTAGATGCACTTGGAAGTAGCGTGTCAAATTTGAATGCCGGAAGTGGCTTTCTTCCTGGCCTGGTTTCTGGAGGGAATCGAATATCTATATTGGCATTCGAAGTGGCTAATACAATAGCTAAAGGAGCAAATCTGCTGCAGTCACTTTCAGAAGAAAACATCAAATTCATAAAAAACGATGTCTTACATTCAGAAGGAGTACAAAAGCTAGTTTCTACAAACATGAGGGAGTTGCTAAGTCTTGCTGCGGCTGACAAGAGGTAGGTTAATTGTTAGAGAAAATAGTTGTTTTTTTTTCTCTGTGCTTTAAAGTGTTCTGGATGCAGAGATGATGTGTTAGTTCTTGCACTTTAATCTCTTATTATAACATTTATCCTTTGGCATTTCAAGGGATGAATTGGATACTTTTTCGCGTGAAGTAATTAGGTTCGGTGATCTGTGTAAAGATCCACAATGGCACAACCTTGGTCGATACTTTTCAAAGTAAGGCAGATTTTTTGGTAGCATTACTTTCAGCTTAAATTGCTGATGTTTACTGATTGAGAAATATATCTCTTGCTACTGTCACAATCTGTCAGACTAGATACAGACAATTTTCATAAACAAGCTGGAGCTGAGGCAGAAATGATGATGCAAGAACTAACTACTCTTGCTCAACATACCTCTGTAAGAAAATGTTTAATTATCTTGTTTGAATTAAAGCTTTTCAGAAGTTTGTATGATGCTTTTGAAATTTTGTCCCGCACGTTTGACTTGTCTGCATTGCATGTTGTTAAAGCCGTAACATAAGAGTTGTCCATCTATGTGAAAGATTTATTGCTGTATATTGGTTTTTGGTATTGAAAAGGTTTTATTCTGAGTGTTCTAGTTCAAAAAATCTAACGTATCTTACATGTGTAGGAATTGTACCATGAATTGAACGCACTGGACAGATTTGATCAAGACTATAGGCGAAAGCTGGAAGAAGCGGAGTCCTTAAATCTCCCTAAAAGAGGTTAGGCTTGGACGAACCTTTTCTCTTTCCAGAGTTTTCTTTTATTTGCCTATGGATTATGCAGAAATTTGATCCCTTGTCGATCATATAGCAAATATGTCATAAATTTTGGGTGATGTATCATTGCATAAAAATGAAAATTACCAATCAGAAATGCTTTAAATATGCTAACTTCAGAACGAATATTGTTCTTGTTTTCGTATTAAGGGTTTATCTCACATAGCATTTGTCATTGATTAACCATTCTAGGCACTAAAGCCTGTAATCTGCTCTGATCCTCCTACTTCTCACTTTCAAGATGCTGTTACTAATTTCTACAGCATTCACTCAGTTTATATCTGGACAAAACTTATTCTGGTTGATTTTTTCTTAGTAACAGCTTCTAGTTGTTCATTCCCTAATTATCATTACTGTATTTCTGATATTAGCTAGAAAGCTGCTAACCTGGACTGCAGCTATTCTATTAACAGCTACTTCTTTTGAATTGTAGGAGAGAATCTCATGATTTTACAAAATGAGCTAAAACAACAAAGAAAGCTTGTAAGGAGTCTGACAAAGAAATCTCTTTGGTCTAGAACTTTGGGAGAGGTATATAACTACAAGCTGCTTGTTATAATTGCTGAACTGATACTCCCAGGGGTGTTCTCAGTGGAAACCTTAAATATTCACTTCAATCTAGTTGTCCGTGTCTCCATGAAGCTTTTAGCATTTCAAAGGAGTATTCTTTGCCTCATATACCTCATGCTATACTGCTTTTTTTGTTATGTTAGTGATGGTTGATTTTTATGACCGTCAACACAAGCAATTGTCTGAAATACTATGGAATCTATTTTGCTCCTGGAAAAAATGATTGAGATCATTCAGTTTTGCCTTCTGCATATGCAATAAATGTTCGTGTTGCCAGAGCCAACAATTATGCAACCTTTCTTGATTGTAATTTTGTTTCATTGCAGATCGTGGAGAAGCTTGTTGAGATTGTCACTTACATGCATCAAGCAATATTTGAATCCTTTGGAGGTAATCATATATAGATTCAACTCCTATCAAATTATTAGTGTGGGGAACATTATGTGTGTTCTTTGATGTTTTACCTTGTCTTATTAATATAATTTTCATCTCACGGCAGACTCAGCATCAGTCAAAAAGGAGATTACTGAAAATCCTAAAAAACTAGGTGTTGCTGGACTTTCATTACACTATGCTAATGTAATTCATCAGATTGACAACATTGTAAGTCTATGTCCTTTTCTTCTTCTCTGTTTGTCATTTGCATGTTTACCCCATTTCCCCTAGCAGTCTAGGCCTGCCAAATTGGATTAAATTGAATTTATATGTTATAGGCAGCTCGCCCAGCTTCACTTCCACCTAATATCAGGGACACATTGTATCATGGATTGCCACCTACTGTTAAGAAAGATTTAAGGTCCCGATTACAGTCCATTGACACCAACGAAGAGGTATTTTTTTCTACAATATTTGAGTTGTGATCCATACTCAATAAACTTCAATTTCATAATTCATTGTTTTTCTTTTTCTGCTCCATTTAGCTTGAGGGTTGTTTGTTTTTATGTGCTTGTTCGCTGTATTAACATGATCACTTAATTTCTTGCTTTTTCTCCAGCTCTCAATCTCACAGGTCAAGGATGAGATGGAAAAGACACTACGATGGCTTGTTCCTGTTGCCACTAACACAACCAAGTAGGTTAAACTAGTTTAGATTTTATTTTTCCCATTTGCTGATTTATTTGTCTACGCTTGCCTAAATTTTTTGTCTGAAACTAAACCAAAAAAAAATGTTTTTTTTTTGGTCTCTTTGATGTCAGTACTAAGTAATATTTGTTTCTTTGATTTCCTTTCGCTGCAATTTGCAACAGAGCACATCAAGGTTTTGGATGGGTTGGAGAATGGGCAAACGCTAGGTTAGTCAAGGCCGCTCTTTATATCTCTGTGCACATGGTCGCATGCAAGTCTATCTAAATGTTAATGAGTTATTTTGGTTTTTCTTCATAACAATGGGGTTTCCTGGTGTTTATTCTTGTCTGACAGCAACGAATTTGGAAGAAATGCAGCCACAAATATCACCCTCACACGCCTTCAGACACTTTATCATGCAGATAAACAGAAGACAGATGCATACATCCTTGAAGTAGTGGCATGGCTTCACCATTTGATCTGTTTAATAAAACAAAGAGATCATGGCTTCAAGCCTCGGCCAGTTCGATCTCCTACTTGTAAGGGTTTGGTTTTTCACTCTAAGATGCAGCGATTTCTATCCGTCAACGTTGGGCCTAAAGCCCACAGGATTGAACTTTCTCAAGAAGACAGAAACTTACTCAACAAGGTGACTGCGAGGAGATTGATTCCAGGAATTAGCAAAAGTCAGGAACTTCCTTTAGGCAAAAACGAAAGGATCAAGATTTGGGCATTAAGGAGTGCCGGGAACTCTCCTGATAGGAGTTTTAGGGCAAGAAAGAGTCTAAAGCATCCACAAACGAATATATTGGATGTCATGGATGGTTTAGATCTCACAATTTGAGTCACATTCAAAATTTCACCCTATCCTTTGTCTAACTTTTAAGATCCATTTCATGCCTCTAGATCTCGTTCTTTTCATTCTATTGTATATGTTTTCCTATGAGATTTATTCTATCGTGTACATAAGTCCTTTGATATGGTGGTAATTTTATTGAAATGATGTTCGAATTATTTGTGAGTTCTTGGCTATAGGTGGGAGGTGACCCATTGTTGATATATACTCTGGAGAACTGCAGTTTTGGCACATTGCTTCTTGATATATGCTTGAACTCTGCAGTAGGGTTCCGCCAATGAGTACCGGAATCTTTTTTAACAGTTGCTCCTATTTCCATAGCTTGATATTAGGAAAGCTTCAAGACATTACATCAAAGAGTGAACTATTTAACGAGTTTTAATTGGTTAGGCCTACTACAAACATTTTCCATATTCTAATCTGTTACCAGCAGCACCATAAGGCAATACGGAAAGCACCTGGTTCTTGTTCTAAGTCATTACCTCTTTTATCTCATGTCCTAATTCAAATGTTTCTTTCAACTGCAGTGCCATCTTGCATGCCTGAAACCAAACATCAATCTGATGCGGCATGTCTGTACGATTGAATCTGTTATATTAAGATCTAAACCTATCTAAGAATCCCATTCACTTGGTATCTTATGATCTTACCAGCTCCTTACTTTTCCTCTGTTTATATCCATAGTTCCAACTGCTTCAATTCCGTCATGTCTCCTTTTCTTTCTTGTGGTGCTGTCTTCCTCAGTTTGTCCAGAACATTCTGTACCACCAGCTGGAACGAGTGAAACAACTGCAAACCAGCAAGAAGTTCGTGCTGGCGTCCCCCAAAGTGAAGGGAACAGTGCTTCATTGCTCGCGTCCCCTCCCAATGATACTCCTGTTAACAAGATTCCATTTGCTAAACCTGTTGGCAACCGTAGGTAGCAATCTCAACTGGGTTACCAACAGCAGCAAGAGCCTAACTATCCACAACACAGCATTAACCAGCCTCTGTCAGGCTTTAATCAACCATATCCTACTATAAACCAGCTTTTTCAGGGCTACTAACCAACAGGGCTCACTGGAAAACGCTGCTTTTGATAACGGGGCTTCAAAGGAGAACACTTGCATTTTGGCTCCTTTACTTTGATGCTTTCCTTTGGATTTCTTGTTTAGAACTACATTGACAAGCGATGAACAAAACAAATCCGTTAAGACCTATTTCTAGATGTTAATGTATCTAATTTTTATTCCACGTTTTATTTCAGGTAAAATCGAGTATTATAGATTTTATTCAAGATTCCCTCTTTCACGCGAGCTTATTAATTAAGTTTCTCCCATTTGTTTTGACAGATATATATGAACAATTCTACTAATAAGAAGAATAATTTAGAAAGATTGGACAGTAACTTATAAGCTTGCCGTTAAGATTGGAATCAGGTGGGTGAGCCGAGGGTGCCCAATTGTCGTAACCAGGCGTTGGGGCGAACACCCATATCGCATCTATTGCGAGTACAGACCACTTACAATATCCCATTAACTGCCTCCGGGATTTGCTTGGCGTTCTCGCATCGTCTTTAAAAGAGACAACTGCAGTGGGGGGTTTTTTTTTTTTTTTTTTTATCACATTTATAATTGATTTTATAAAAGAAAACAGGTTCCTATAAAAAAAATAAATAAATGAAAGAGAATAGATTTATAATGAATAATATATGATTGTTTGAATTTTTTTTCTAAATTTAAAAAATATACCGTGCAATTAACTAATAAATGTTCAAATTGATATCATATAATTAGTCAAATTTTCAGGAATTTTATTTTTGATAAAAGCAAAAGGCTAATTAAAACCATACTGTTAATATGTATTTTTTAGATTAATTTTGTCCAAGAAGGGCTAGTTGCCCGGTGATGTTATGGGCCTAAAATGGGCCCTCGGAGGTACAATGATAAAAGTATATAGTCCAAGATTTTCTAGTTTAGGTTTGACTACAAACCCAGAAAAGACGCTACGGTCCAGCTAGCCCTTCCCTAGCCCAGACCCAACTCAAGCCATTTGCTTCCACAAATAACTCAAACAGCAATTTCAATTACCTGGCCCAAAGATAAAGTAGGATTTTCTATTTCGTTTAGGGTTCAATTTCAAACATAAGTTTCTGTCCAAAGAAAAATTCAAACATAGTAATTTTAATTAAATGGCCTTGTTGTATATCCCAAAAGGAAAAACAACAAACAACGAAACTGTAATCTAAAGTCAGAATAAACAAATTTCTTATGGAACAAAGGAAGAAGATAAGCAAATTGTCTAAAACTTCAAAACTTCCCCCACTTTTCTCTAGGGATAGAGATTAATAATCTCATAAGATTTACATTGGAGCTATTAGGGTTTTGGACGCTCATTGTGTTTTAACATCTGATTGTCTGCTTGCCTTCTCTGTTCATGTTCATGTGTCTTCCCACACGCTAGTCTCTGTACTCGATTAAAATTAGTACGAAACATCCAACATTGTTTGGTGTTTGACTTTACCGTTAATTTGACTCTGCGAGTGGCAACCGTCCATTCCCTCATATCTTGACACGTTTCCAGTACGTTGAGGAAGGTATACTCAACCTTCACATGCTCCTCACATGGCGATGATAAAATATTCGAATGATTTGACATAAACCACGTCTTTTGTTTTTTTTTTTTGAAAAAAAATGACCGAATATATAAGATTTTTTAATTAGTAATTCGACGAGAAAGTGTTGCTTTAATTTTTGCCAAGTTGCATCGTTTCTGTTGCAGGCTTAAGGACCAAAACTGCGACGATGAAGACGGGACCTCGTTTTGGGAAACCATGGTCTAGGATCCTAGTGTCAAATCACTAACAACAACTCAAAAGGACGTCTCACTTTGCTCTAACATGTTGTCGGACGACCCACTTGTAAATACCAGCTAGATAGAACATAGATTAGACGCACATAACTCTCAATTCAAGGTTTTGATACAGTTTTTTTTTTTTTTTAATTTTATGTTTGGATCATTATAATTCTTTTTTTTTTTTATGATTGAATAATTATGTGTATAATATTTTTTAATTAAATAAATATAAAAAATTTATGAGTAGATTAAAAATTAAAAAAATCACTTGTTTATACTTTTATCTTTTAAAAACACATATAATAAATTTTAAATTTAAATTTCAATATTTTTATTTTTTTAAAATATAATTTTTTTGGAAAAAAAATAATGATTCGCCTATCCATCTAAATTCAATGAATCAACGTTGACTTGAAAACAAACCATGTCTTTTCTTGTTTTTTGAATAATCGAACCCATTGTTTTCCATTCATACCTTTTTCTACTATAAAAATTGTGGGCTGATAATAACCCAAGACAAGGTGTGACAAATGTAAGCTGGAATTAATAATATTAGCCCACGGTCACCTTTTATTTCATTTGATGTCAAACCGGTAAGGTTGGAAACTGGTGCCAAGTGGCTACATTATTAGTACTCTTTTCTGTCTACTTGCCTATCCTAGAACTTAAATAAATAAATATATAAAATCGCAAAGGAGATTCTGGAAACAAGGACGGTCCGCTGAGTCAGCATGTGAGAGAAGAGATCCAAATGTTCCAAATGGATAAGCTTCGTTAACCCAACCTATCTAACCCTGGTTCGCCAATTTTATAAATAACCTTGCCCATCCAATTACTACCCCAACTCAAAGCAAAAACAACGAACAATCAACAAGCAACAATCAACGATTAGAAAATGGCTTCTGTGTCTTCTACATTAGCTTCTTTCAGCTCTTCCTCCGCTCATTTCATGGGCCCCCAAATTTCCATCAAGAAACCCAGTTCCATGCCGACACGTGTCCAGTTCCGGCCACTCCGTATCTCTGCCTCTTGTACATCAACGGTTGAGAGAGAGATTTCGCACATTGCTTCTCCGTCATCACTATACGAGGTATTGGGGATTCCGGTGGGGGCCACGTGTCAAGAAATCAAGGCTGCTTACCGGAGACTGGCGCGAGTTCTACACCCGGACGTCTCGTCTAACGGTCAAAATAGCGCCACCGCACACGAGTTCATTAAAGTACATGAAGCTTACTCTACGCTGTCTGATCCTGAGAAACGCAACGATTACGATCGAATGTTGTTCTCCAGGCTCAGGCGCTCCTTTGCCATGTCAGCATCCGCCGCATCGATGTCCAGCTCAACTTCTTCTGGATTTTCTGGTTATACGAGTCGAACCTGGGAAACTGATCAATGTTGGTGAGACTGCGTATAAATTATGTGGGAATACAGGGTGATGAGTGGAAATTAGTATTTTTTGCTAATACTTCAGTCTGTAAATATGAAAATGTTTGAACTAAAACAGGCGGCTTTTTTTATAGCCTGAGTGTATAAAAGGTTGGATTTTTGTGTTATGCTGTTAGTGTTCTGTTTCTTGTAGTTTTATGGTTTTAGTTTTATTTTGAAAATTCTGGACTGAATATTTCTTGTAAATGCTTATCTCAATCTGTAGTTAAACTCTAAGCCTAAGTTACAGAGATACCTTGAAACTAAAAATCAGGGCCATTCTAAAGGATATAATTTAAGTTGTTTGAATACCAGATTCATTGTGGGATAGAAGACTTAAATATAATTAACAGGGATGGGGAATTTTTAGTTTTCTCATTGTTCCACATGGATACAATGTGCACAAATGGGATATGGATAAGAGCCGTGTATCGAGGCTAGACTTAATACTTGCTTTAATTTTAGTATCTCGCTTACCATTATTGGACTGTAAATGGGAAAATTTAAGCAATTGAATTTTAAATTTGAAGATGGTGGCACCAATTCTCTGTGCTCTGTCGTTTGGATGAGCTCAACTTTCCCTCTTTCGACAGGGGAGATTTGCAAATTAGAAGCCAGAAAAAGTTATCTAATTGGAAACTTCGGAACTTCAATAATATTTATTGATGAATCAAATTGCAACATAAAGGAAATGTTAGTCTTTTTGATTCCGATTGACTTGCCAGAATCATCGAGACTAGAGTGTGTTTGTTGGTATTCAATTTGCCTATGATAAACTCAACAGCTCAGAAAAAGCCGAAAAAGGTTTCCAGAAAAAGCTGGAAATAAATAAATAGTAGAATAGTACAAGTCAATGCTTATCTAATTCTTGATGCAACGTCAACACCATTCACGATCCAACGTTAACAACTGTAATTTGCAAGGTAGGGTTTAGCAAACCTTTTTATTAGGCAGGCCTTTGATGGGCGTCACTTCACGGGCTTTTGACAGAAAAGCCACCAACGGCTGGACACAAACATCTGGCCCAAAAGCTACACAAATAGTTGATGTGCCTCATAAAATTGAATGGTTCGCTATTGGAATCAATGCGTTTCCATTGGCAATCAAAGCCACCTCACCACAAATTCATCTCCCAAGAATCTAAAACCAATAATTTCCAACCATAAATACTGACACTGAATTTGTCCGGCTCTCTCGTCCACCCAATCTGTAATCCCCGCCCAGGTCTTTTTTTTTCATCTCTCTTTTTCAGTCTTTTTGTCGTGTCTTTGTTCTTGGTTCTGCTTGACTGAATTAAATTTCTTATTGTTTTAATTTCCTCTTTATGTCTGACTAGCAATACTAAAAAGTACACCAGGGTAATGCTTGTAGCTCGGTTAAGACTGAAATCTTGAACAAAATATACAAGAGACCACCTAGGATGGAAATCTGAGTAATGATCTTAATGACGGTTCTTATTTCTTGAGGTTGCCGTTATGTTTTTGGAGAGTTCAATGAGTGTAAAATGGAAAATCATAACATGAGAGAATATAACTTTAGGCCGGTTGGCATCTTTCAAGATTATCATATATTTGTTAATTTAATTACATTTTATTATAAAATAAATTAAAGATTATTAATATTTTACAAATTATTATTTTTAAATAACATTAAAATCATTAATTTATATAACTATTATAATATGTATGGTTATTTTCGTATTTTTAAATAAAATAATGTTTGATTTTTAGTAATAATAAACATAATGATGTTTAATTACCAAGTATTAATAATTGTTAATCAAATAAGATTATCTTAATGGTAAAATCACCTCGGTGAAATAAATTATGTAAAAAATATTTGAATTAAAAAATTAAATTAAATTAATAAATTCATAATAAAAGAAAAACAAAAATATTATATTGTACATAAAATATTAAAAAAACAAATAAATTATTTTTAAATTTATTATAATGAATATTAATTGTAAAATATAAAAGTTTATAAGATAAACTAATTATAATTAAAAAAAATAAATTTTTAATTTACATATTAAATACATAATATTATATATTATTAATTTTACGTTTCACTTTATTTTAATAATAAAAATTTTTGATCTTTTGAGATGAGAATTAAATCGTCTTCCAAAATGGTAATATGTTTAGTGACGACAATAGCAACTTTTAGTTGGGACCAGATTCATCTGCTTGACTGTAGCTGACGTTTTTCTTTGAAGCTCCATTTCCCTATAAATACACATTCTTTTATCGCCATTGCAGAATCTCACACTTCCCAACCCCCATTTCTGAAGAAGAAGAGCGTTGGATTTTGCCCATCCATCCCAACTCCCTCTTCTTCTTTCTCCTTATTATATAAAGGATTCTTCTTGCAAACTTTAAGCTTAATGGCCCAACCTACAGTTATTGCTGTTATTTGTGTTTTTATTCAGTCACATTCGTTCATATCAGGTACTCACGGGAAACTTTGAATGATGTTTAATCAGTTCTCGTGTTAATTATTAGGATTTGGTTTCAAGTTTGGTTTTTTTTTTTTTAATTGATTTTTGTTACATTGTAAACAGGAGTGCAAGCAACAACCTTTACCATAGTAAACAAATGCGATTATGTGATATGGCCTGGAATTCTCTCAACCGCACGTGCTCCAACAATTTCCACAATGGCCTTTACTCTCCAAAGTGGTGAAACCAAAACAATTACCGCACCGACATCATGGGGTGGTCGCTTTTGGGGTAGAACCCATTGCTCCCAAGATTCGTCCGGAAATTTTTCATGTCTGACTGGTGATTGTGGCTCCAGGAAGCTAGAATGTTCAGGAAATGGCGCTTCCCCACCTGCCACCTTGGCTGAGTTTACTTTGGACGGTGCTGGTGGTTTTGATTTTTTTTATGTGAGTTTGGTGGACGGTTACAACGTCCCTATGTTAGTGGTTCCTCAGGGTGGCACAGGGCAAAACTGTACCTACACCGACTGCGTAGTTGATCTCAATGACTTGTGTCCGTCGGAGCTCAAGGTGATGAGCACAGACAGCAGCGACGGCGTCGCGTGCAAGAGTGCTTGCGAGGCCTTCCGCGAGCCTCAATACTATTGCAACGGCGATTGTGCCACACCCGATACTTGCAGCCTTCTTCGTACTCGGAGATCATTAAGACAGCGTGCCCACGGGCCTACAGCTATGCCTGTGATGATAAGACCAGCACTTTCACATGTGCGAATGCTGATTACACCATTACTTTCTGTCCAGCCAACACTAGGTTAAATATACTTCACAAGCCTTTTCAACTTCTGTCCAACACTTTTAACGATGAAGGGTAATCTATACTATATATTGAAAACAATTCTTGTGGTGTTGTTTATTTGACAGTAATTGATTGATTGTCTTTGTTAATTATTATTATTATTATTAATTAAATGAATAAGAAGGTTTGAATTTTGTTTTATGGGCTTTAAAACATGGGCTATGAATATGGGGTTTTAGATATTATTTTTTTACTTAATTAAATGTTAAAAAATTAAATAATTTTGTTTAAAATTTTCCTCAGAAGGAAAAGAGTAGATATTCGTTCAGAAGCTTCAAGAAAACAAGAAAGGAGTAGATAGATATAAACAAAAAGGAGAAAATGAAAGGAAAAGCCTAATCTTTGTTCACCTTTCGTTTTTCATAAAACTTACACGTGATTTTCATTTTTAGGTCATAGCTGCTGGTGGTTGTAAATATCCCTTTCATCTTCTCTATTTTCTCTTAATTCTTCTCTGCCCTACTCCATTCGATCTCTATCTACCCCTTATTTTCTCAAACCTCTAAAAATTTGTTTATTTTAATTATTTTTTTTAAATTTTGTTTGTAATTGATGTTTTCTAATAGAATTTTTTTATCTTTCTTTTTATTATAGGCTTCAAGAACTTGGAATTTTGTTGGTAGTACTGTACGTATTTTTAAAGGTAAATTTTTATTTCTTTTTTTATTGTAAGATAATTTGTTTTCGGATTTTGTGAAGGATATATAATTTGGATATATTTTTGTTTTTGCTTTTGGTTTTTAGTGAACGTCTTAAAGGTTAAATTTTCAAAGAACTCATAATTGCCAAAATAAAATTGTTTTAATTTTTTGTTTATTTCTTGATTTTTTAAATTTTGGGTGTTATTATTGATTAGAGCTATTAGTTTTATGGACATCAGTAAAGATGTTTGCTTTTTTTTTTTTTTACAATTATTTATCAATAATTTTATATGAAAATATGTGGATTTTTTTTTTTATGTTTTAAGTTTTGTTCTGTTATATTAATGATTTATTTTTTTAATAAGATTTTTATTTGGTTTTGCTTATGATATTTTTTGGTTGGATGACCAGGTTTACATCTTTTTTGGTTCTTCAAATTACAGGTATTTTGTTTTGGTTTTTGTTTTTGTTACTTTATAGTAAAAATAAATATTTATGTGGAGTGAATAATGTGAAAATTTGAATATAAATAAATGGGTATGAAAATATCTAAATTTTCTTGTAAATTGTAAATAGATAGAGTCCAGAAGGTATTGCCTCATGTCAAGTTAACAAACTGATCCTTGTTTTGTCATGAAAATAAGCTGGTCCTCGGAATGCTATATAGGGTGGGGTGTGGAATGGTGTTTTTAGGCGTTCCGGCTGAAAAAGATTAGCTGTCCCTAAACATGCATCAATCCACTGGGATAGGCATCGCCTTTTGATACCAATCCCGCAAATTGAGACCGAGGCTCTACTAGACTAGACTGAACACTTGCGCGCCCATAACAGTTCTATTATCGCAGTTGTGGTTAAAGAAGGTTAGTTCAGGGAAATAGGAAGTAGTAAAATAAATAAACAGGTTGGCATTTTTGTCAACATATTATACCGTTATGCTGCGTTGGAGTGTTATTGCTTTTGTCTGAGTTTTTTAACGGTTAATTTTGGTACGTAAATTGCAGCCACAAATTATCGCAAGGGCAGAACAAGGAAACAACAACAAGGACAACGTCACCTCTTATCAACAGCACAATGGTGTTCCAAGGTGCCTTGTACGACAGTGCGGCATCACCATCAACGTGCAACCACGTGTTCGGATCACATGGATAGCGGGATCGTCGGCATCACAATGGCAATTTGGTGTTCGTGGCAACTCTTCTAACATAATGACTAATTAACCTTATATGAAGGGGTAGGGGTCATATTGGGCCGTAAACTTAGGCAGAATATGCAAAGAGTGGTGGGTGTTTTTTTTTTTTTTTTTTTGCGGGGGGGTGGGGTGAAGGGCCAATTGCACGAAATCGGAGGCTGTTAGGGTTGAGAAATATTTTTCTATTTTTATTTTAGGTTCAATTTTTATATTATAGAAAGGGATGGGATTGTGTGAACTACTATCACATTTGCTTCCAAGAAAAATGAATTATTTTTATTGCCAATTTTTCTCTCCATATTTTGTTTTTTGTTGGATTTCCTTACCATTTTGCATAACATATTCCATCGACAATATCTTTCAATTTCTATTATTAGTAAACCATTTATCAACAGTGTGCTGAATGCAACTTTTTTTTATAGCAATAGCTATGGCGTATAAGATGATCTTTTTTACCTAATTTGGTGGCTTGTGTAAAATGGGATGTTAAGAGACTATAAGCTAAAGCATTTAAATTTGCAATGAATATTATTGGATTAATTTTCTCAAAAAAAAAAATATTGGATTAGTTATCCGGAATTTGTCATGAACATTCTTAATTAGTCCCAATATCCAAGTACAGAATTTCTGTTCTTTTAAATTCCTTCTTCTTTTTCCTTTTTTTTTTTTTTTTCTTGAAGTTTGATCGGGAACCTAATACACTTTTAATATGGGAATTCTCTTGTAAAATATGGGATTACGGCCCATATTGTCGGTGGCAATGTGTACAAATAAACAGAAAACAAGCCAAAAAATTTAGTCCAACTTCCAAAATTACATGAATAAACAGCCACTTATTTAAGAAAACATAGTTGCAATTGAGGCAACCTTCTTCCACGCATTTTCTCTTCTAGTGCTGCTCTTGGCCTCCATAAATTTATTAATATCTCATTCGAGTTTAATATAATAATTCTCTCACAGTTTCAATCGTAAAAGCAACAATAATGCATTTGTGAAACCTTATTCATACATATTCACAAATAATACAGAACATGTTGGTAGTCCAAAGGAAGCATATATTTTACAAGATCGCCATAATTGTGTAATTATCGAGTTAATCTTATTATTAAAATAATTTTATTTGATTATCAATTATTAATAGTTAGTAATTAAAGATCTATTTTTGTTACTACTAAAAATCAACATTATTTTGTTTAAAAATATGAAAATAATTATACATATTTTAATAACTATATAAGCTAATGATTTTATATTAATTTGTAAAATATTAATAATCTTTTATTTATTTTATAATAATAATAATTAAATTAATAAATATATTTATTATGTAAACAAATTAATAATAAATATATCAAGGTGAACTTATTTTATAATATAAATTATGTAAAAATATATTTGAATTAAAAAATTAAACTAATCTATTAAATTAATAAATATATTATATATAAAATATTAAAAAACACATTATTTTTGAATTTATTACCATGAATTTTAGTTTTAAAATATAAAATTATTATATAAATTAATTAAATTTTTTTAAAAAATAAGTTTTTAATTCACATATTAAATACACAAAATTATATATTATTAATTTTACATATCACTTCACCTTAATAATGAAAGTTTTTTACTTTTTTGGATGACATTTAAATCACTTTTCAAAACAGTAATTTGATAATTATCTCCACATAGAATCATGCTTACTACACAATGATTTAATTATTATGTGTAAATTAGTATGATGTTTGAAGTGATATTCTCGTACCAAACTTCATCTTAAATCGTGCTACAAAAGTTACCGTCCTTAATTTAATCGTATTATTGAAAGATATATCTATACATAGACATGGCTCTCCTCTTTCCAAAACTTAGCATATAGTTTAACTTTAGATGTTAGATTGATTCACAGCAGCTGGCAAGATTGATGCACTCTTCCTTAGTTGCCAAATGGTGACCAAGAACACTAGAAATATTTTCTCCCTTGAAAATATAAGAAATCATAACTGATTCAATTGAAGACATGACAAACCGATGTAAAGTTTTCCAAAATTTACTTTTGCTATTGAAGCTTATGGAGCCCCGGGGAATTTGTCAGCTATATGTTAAACATAATCACCTTCAATACGGATAGTCATTCTAGCAATAAAGCATTGGGAAAATGTTTTTATTACCATTTATCAATTGTAATCGCCCCGTTCAGGTGACTTGAAGTCTGGTGTTGAAGTGAAGATCACAGGACCCATTGGGAAAGAGATGCTTATGCCAAAAGACCCAAACGCCATCATCATAATGGTAGCTCTAAGGATTTTTTGGGTTAACATAATTACCATCTTGTTATTTGAACATTTTTTAAATTAGTTATGTTTGGTTTCCTTGTTGCAGCTTGCAACTGGTACTGGAATTGCTCCTTTCCGTTCATTCTTATGGAAGATGTTCTTTGAAGAGCATGACGACTACAAGGTAGATGTGATATCTAAAGCTTGCACAACAAATTGGCAAGTTATGGTAATTACTTGACCTGTGAAATGCAGTTTAATGGGTTGGCTTGGCTCTTCTTGGGTGTTCCCACCAGTAGCTCACTGCTCTACAAGGAGGCAAGCTTTCTTAACCTTTACATTATTCATTTATTCTTTCCCTTGGTACTGGAATATATTGGGTTAGAAATTTTATCAGTTCTATTAATGCGCTCTTTTAATGCCTTCAACTCAGGAATTTGAGAAGATGAAGGAGAAGGCACCAAATAACTTCAGGGTGGATTATGCCATAAGTGGAGAACAAACAAATGACAAGGGTGAGAAGATGTACATTCAAACCCGAATGGCCCAGTATGCTGAAGGGCTATGGAAATTGCTCAAGAAAGATAACACCTATGACTATATGTGCGGGCTTAAGGGAATTGGAAAGGGAATCGATGACATCATGACTTATCTGGCTGCCAAAGATGGTAAATTTATATGATGGGCAGATTTGACTTTAACATTTGCAGAGATATAATTTGATCTTCTAACTTTTGCTTCTTCCAGGTATTGATTGGATTGAATACAAGAGACAATTGAAGAAAGTAGAACAATGGAATGTTGAAGTCTACTTATCTTGGCTTGCACTAAATTTCTACAGGGGATTTTGCCATTCAGTGATTTCCTCCCTGCTGTTTTCACTACTTTGCACCATTTTTTAAAAACTTCTTTGACGTAGAATTTGAATTATTAGCTCAACTGGCAAATTCTTACCTCAAGACAGGTTGTATAGTGCAAATTTGAAGGAAATAACTCCTAATATATTGCTTTTCTAATCACGTGTAACTTTGGTTTAAGCTTGTGGACCTGCGGTCAAAATTGTAGTGACGAGATGCTTAATCTTCTCACATTCGCTTAAATTTCTTGGACTATGCTCTTCTACTAGAAATTGCAAAACCTTTGAGACCACGAGGCATGTGCCGTGACTGATAAAACTGCGTTCTCGGCAAGAGGGTTTTTTAACTTCTTCTTTAAGACTCGTTACAGTAACTTAGGCTAAATGGTCCGCATAAGCCCAATTTTGAATGATTTCCCAAAAAGAAAAAATTGGACCAAACAAGCGCAACGGTTCCATGATTTCCCCAAATGCACAAATGGGCTACTAAGTCGAATATGTAAACGGTGCTAAACACAAGAAAGTTCAATAGGCTATGTTTTGGGTTTAATTGGGTTGGAAGATTTGTCACGCTACAAAGATTAATGGGCTTGAGATTTTAGATAGTCTAGAAATTCTCTACTCTTTGATGAGCTACAAAGTCCATCGGGTTTCCATTTGCGAGTCTAATTAGCCCATGTCTGCTTCATTGTTCTATTTCCTAATGTAGTAGATCACTGGGCTAATGGAAAGTGTTAAGCATATGCCAATAGACGGCAATGAGACAAAAACAGATCTGTAATGATAGAAACCAAAAAAAATCTCCTTAAGCAACCCTGATACTCCATCAATAATTGCCATTATAATTTCTCACCAAGCCTGCCTTTTGCATCAGCTGATGTTGATTTAAAAATTGTAGGCAAACGCATCAAGATTGCTTAAATATTCTTAGCACCTTCCCTTGTCGGAAGCTTGGTTCAAATTCATGATGACGTCTCCTTTGAGTGCTTCTAATCATCTAATGATAATATGATTTCAGCATTTCAGCTAATGATAAAATATCCCATTATGTTTGGGTTTTGGAAAATGTGAATTCATCTTTGTGGAATACAGGTGACAATCATTTATTTTTTGTCTGACAATAACATCAATGGTTGTTGATATTGTTGCTTAGTATAAAAATCAATGTTTCACATTAAGCCATTAACCTTTCTCATGCTTCTACTCATGAAATTCTTCTTTGTATTTTTTGCACTTTTGTTTCAACATTGTCGGTGAATCTTTTGATAACCCACTTCTTTTATTATCAAAGTTCACATATATTAAGGATGGACAATGAATGATCCCCAATGATGCATCTGTCATATTCTCTCTTAACATTAGCGTTTTTTCCCCGATGCTAACGAAAATTGATGTTCTTTCTTGAATGTGAATCTCCTTTTAGCCTAGCATTGAATCAGCGATTAGAATAATAGATTCACTGATCTTTTTGCAGTAATGAAAATGTCATTTTCTTACCGACTGATACATGTTATCCAAACGCCAGCTGTTAACACCTTTTGACATTAATAAAAAAAGGGTAGGTGCTTTGTTTTAGAGAAAATTATATTCAAACAGTTAATTTTGGTCCAAAATCCCACTACTTAGGGAGAAATTTTCGGCTGTCAGTTATAGATACAATTAACATTGTAGAACTTACTAGCATGGTTGTTTAAATGTCAATGGTCTAACCCAAACATTTGGATTCTATTTGGTTTTTCTACAAAATAGCAAGAGGAGTAGCTTTTGGATTCTACCTCTCTCACTAATCACTATCATCTAATTTGGATTCTAACACATATTCATAAAAACATTTTTTTCTTTGATCTGTCAATTGATGACTTTATAAAATGTTGACGACCACACCATGAAACAAAGATTTTAGGTGAGGAACGAGGATGACAAGGGATAAGCCAGAATAGTATGAGATGAACAATGAATTCAATGAACAAATGTTATTTTCACATTTGTGAAAAATTCAGATATTTGTCACATGCTTGAATCTTGCAACCACACATTTAGTAAATATCAGTAAGTTCATTGAACAGCAGAGGCCATAGTTTTAAAGGTGTAAAAACAAACTAGTAAAATATGAGCAGGTTTACATCTGTAATCAAATTTAAGCGTGTTATTAACGTCCTTTGTTTGATTTTCTTGGTAATCAGTTTGCAATTTGACATGTATTTTAAGTCGCCCTCGCGTTCTATCCTCCTTAACCAAAATTTCAAATATGTTGGTAAAAGAAAAAAAAAGGTGTAAACCAATCACGTAAATTATAGCATGCTACGAGCATTGGTGGCTATATGTGTTAGTCATCTTTCTGAGTTAGGGTAGATAAAATCGGTGGCTGAAAGGATCAGCCTGAAAAGGTAATTCAATTCTAACATGTTTGCTGTTTTATCATTAGTCCTGGTCAAAACTCTAACATCATCAGTCCTGGATTTGCATTTAGAGAAAAGTGCTAACTGCCAAGATCATATATAGTTTCTGGGTGATTAAGAAAAACTTCAAAATTTTATCATTTGGCCTCAAGGTTGGACATTATATGCGGTTAATCAAGCCATGGAATAAGTAATGGTAACACACTTTAGGTTTAATTTTCGGGTAAGCTCGATTTTGGATTCTGAGAAGACTTAAAATTACTTCACTTGCTATAGTAAGTTGCAATAAAACGATCATCTTCCTCTCGTCATACCAGACATTGATACTTAGGAAGGTACCAACAACCGACCATACAGATAAGTTTCGTCACACTCGGACAAGAGAATCATCGTAATCACAGATACCAATTTGAAACGTGACGATTCTAGACGAAAAAAAAAAGTTATCATATCCATGCCGGTTGAGGGTAGGAAAGTTAATTAAACATGAATTTAAAATGGGATTTTGAAGAGTGGTGGTAAATTATTTGCAAAAAATTGTTTGCACCTAAGGCTCCATTTGTTTTCAACTCCACCTCCACTGAGATGCAATTGCCAATAAAAATTGTGCCCATTGGTGTTTAACATCCATTTGGATGTCAAAGCCGTGGCACGATTGTCTACTTTTGTCCACAGGAGGATTTAGCTCCAGTTGAAAAGACGAACCGAGCTTCAAATTTTTTTTTTCCTTTTTCATCCTTTATTTTATATTACAAAGACAAAAATATCTTTATACTGTAATTTTTTATTTTTCATTTAAAAATTATAAAATATATTTATTAATTTATAAATAAAACTTATTTATTATAATAAATTAATATATAAATAAAATTTTAATTAATTTTATAAATATTAAATAATTTAAAATTTTTGTTAATATAATTTATACTCTAATGTTTTTAATAATTTTTTTTTATTTTACCGTTATCGTTATTTTTATATCTAAATATATATCTCATTATTAATTTTAATCTTATAACTATAATAATTAATCTTATTTTTATTATTATTTTTAATCTTACTAAAATTAATCTCGTTCAAATGGATGCTAAAAAAAAATCATCTCAACCATGACATAGATTACTGTCAGATCTTTAAAGAATGTCATCTCAATCATGACATAAATTACAGTCAGATGTCTAACTTTCAAGTTCCACACTTTACCTTTTACATCATCATCTGCGGCAGCATGCACGATCAGTAGAAACTTCCTAAATTTTCTTCAAGTTGTCGCTCAACTTGATAAAATCCCTTGATTCTGAGGTGATGACGCTGGATTTACTATTACAATCCAGTAGCTTTTCAAAGTGCTATTTCTTACGGTTAATGATAGCGTTGTGGTAAGTAAATGAATTTTTTGATATTGCCATTTCGCTAGAGTTGGATAGGTTACAGCCTAACTGAGAACTTCAGATATCAGATTGGTTTGTGATTTCTAGCACAAGAAGAATGCGGACTGTTGTCTGTTGCTGACAATTTCCACTGTTTTCAGATGTGCTTTATAAATAAGACAGAGACGATTGCCTGCCTCACGTTTAACCACCAAGTAACTTACCCAAGTACAATAGGCTTAGAAAATGCCTATATAAATTCTTGTCACATTTAATAATGTATAAAATTGTTGGAAGAATGAACTAAAAATAGAAATTTAGAAGTTGAATCACTTTTAATTACATTGCTTTCGCAGTTTGGTTTTGAGTCGGTCTTAGGCTGACTGTGGATTCCTATAGCAATGCCCATAAGCGAGAACGACCCAAGGCCAATAACATAAAAACTATGACTTTCAGGGCACCACGGTCACACCATATGTCGGTCTTCCAAGCTGGCGTGCGTAGATTGCTAACTGTAAAATTAAGCACAAATCCCGGTTGTCTAGTCGTTTAAGGCGGTGGCTGTGTGTGAGATAATTCAAAACAAAACTTGCTTAGGTTTACTCCAATGGAATTTCTGCATTTAAGCTGAGAATTGAGATATTTTAATTATGTGGTAGATGGCAACTAGATATAATATAACTCAGATATTTTCAAGGGCAGGCCATGAAATCAAATCTCCTGAGTGGTTGTTTTCAGGTTAGACCACCAATTTTACTTTCTGAAACCTAAGCTGTTCAACTAATAAAGAGGTTAATTTTATAAACCGAAGTAGCTCAAGCTACTTCAACTACATGCTCTGCTTAACTCTATCAATGGGGGCCAGTGCATGGGCTAGAGAAATAAGCTACCATTCACTTATGAAATTGGCTAGTCAACAATAGACCAGGAAGATTATGTTTAACAAGTTTTTGATCTTTGAGACCCTTCAAAAATGTGGAGAAAAAAACGTGTGTTTGAAGAAATAGCTAACCAAAGATGACTCGATCGTATATATCTCTTTCTCCCCCTCTTTGCTAGTGGCTACGCCCTATTTTCTTGTTTATTACTATATACTAAAACCATGCCTAAACGTATGATGATGGGACCAAGTGAACATATAGGGAATGTAGCCTGCCGCAGTTGACTTGGTTTTCCGCATCAACAATGACCCGTTTTTTTCCATATTTTAGGCACTCAATTCTGCACTAATTTTACCATTCTTCACAGTCTTGAAAATTTGACCTTATTTCTTTATTCTGAATATAAAGAACGTGATTAAATGATCTTAATATGGATTAATATATAATCTACAAAACAGTTGAAGATAAGGGAATGGCAGTTAGTACGAATTAGCATGACTTTAGCAAATATTTAGATAAATTCTTCGAGCTTGCAGCGACTTAATATTAGGATAAAACTGGTACTATTCGTTGAAGCTTATAATTTTCAACATCCCAAAACTTAAAGCCTTAATGATAGACCAAAAGAATAACCAATATTCGAATATTTTATTTTGGATTAATACTACTTTATAATTTTGACCATGATCTAGTAGTAGCTTCTTGGACCATATACATAATCCTTTTGGTAACAATGTCATATGTAGGTAGATTTATTCTCCATAATTCGTTAAATGTCATATTTTTGACAAATGCAACTTCATAAACCTAACTAATATTCATCTAATTTGATGTTTGTTTTTATGTATTAATCTTATGTTTTTCACCACTTCATTTGTAATACTGTTTCCTGTACAAGTAGTAATGTTCTGCCAATATCTTTGCCAAATCCTCTATCGTAAAACTTAACTTATCGTAAAACTGGGGCTAATTAGTCATGACTCATGAAGTTCAGCAAGAACAACGAAATTTATATATAAAGAGATAGTCAGGTTGGGGTGATAAATGCCATGTATTAATTCACTGACAATTGAAGGTTTGCTCATTTCTATAGATGCCATTGTCATTATTCTTACTACTTTATAGGTTCGTTAAAACTTCATTAATAAGAATGCATTGGAAAACTAAAAATTGAATAATGAACTGTCCTCTTATGATTAATTATCAAATTTATAACTTACCAAATGGATCTGTGCTATCTTCAAGCTTAGCTTTTACATCTTGCAACTAACTTAAATTCCACCTTCTGCACATGCATTTAGCCACATTGAGTATTTATCTTTGTTATTTTATCGGTTGCATGAATTTACAATGCAGAATATTGGAGAAAGTTATCGCCAATATGTTAAAAATGAAGATTACTTGGTCCACGATTAAATTTGAAATTTAATTTAATTTATTAATATAATTATTATCAAGAGATATATCTATTATCAGGAATTCAAATTGTAGCACGTGTAATCTTTTTTTTTTATCATCGGTCTCTTTTATAAAATAAAAAAATTACTTATTCCAAGAGGTAAAATATAATAATAAATGAAAACTAGAAAATCATGCATACCAGTATGTTGGCTCGATATCTGTTTGTTTTTTTTTAAAGAAATGTTGGATCCATATTTTAATAATTAGTCAAAAGACAATTAACAACGCCACCAAAATTTTGACCTCAGCCGAATGTTCTGCAAATTGCACTTCACAATTTTCTTTCAAAGGGAAAATTGGTCTTTAACCGATATTTACTGAAAAAGTCCCGTAGGGTAGACACAATAGCTGGTTAGATAGATTATTCCAACTATATTTTTACCAGTTAAAAATCTCAGTTAATTAAATATCTTGTTTCTATTGTGAACTTGCCAATATTATTTTAGCATATGAAAGCTGTTTTTTTTTTTTTTTTTGTAGAGCCTTATATTTTATCTCTATTTTTATTTATTCACAAAGTTTTACATGCAAAAAACCAAGAGGAAGGAAATCAATTCTCAGCCAAACCCACTGCAACTCTTCTCAAAATCTGGTAGGGTATAGAGTAGATCACAAGACAATAGCAACTTTTAGTTCGGTCCACATTCATCTGCTTGACTGTAGCTGACGTTATTCTTTGAAGCTCCATTTCCCTATAAATACACATTCTTTATCGCCATTGCAGAATCTCACACTTTCCTAACCCCCATTTCTGAAGAAGAAGAAGAAGAAGAAGAGCGTTGGACTTTGCCCATCCATCCCAACTCCCTCTTCTTCTTTCTCCTTATTATATAAAGTATTCTTCTTGCAAACTTTAAGCTTAATGGCCCAACCTACAGTTATTGCTGTTATTTGTGTTTTTATTCTGTCACATTCGTTCATATCAGGTACTCACAGGAGGCTTTGAATGATGTTTAATTAGTTTTCGTGTTAATTAGCAGGATTTGGTTTCAAGTTTGGTTTTTTCTAATTGATTTTCGTTACATTGTAAACAGGAGTGCAAGCAACAACCTTTACCATAGTAAACAAATGCGATTATGTGGTATGGCCTGGAATTCTCTCAAACGCAGGTGTTCCAACACTTTCCACAACGGGCTTTACTCTCCAAAGTGGTGAAACCAAAACAATTACCGCACCGACATCATGGGGTGGTCGCTTTTGGGGTAGAACCCATTGCTCCCAAGATTCTACCGGAAAATTTTCATGTCTGACGGGTGATTGTGGCTCCGGGAAGCTAGAATGTTCAGGAAATGGCGCTGCCCCACCTGCCACTTTGGCTGAATTTACTTTGGATGGTGCTGGTGGTTTTGATTTTTATGATGTGAGTTTGGTCGACGGTTACAACATCCCTATGTTAGTAGCTCCTCAGGGTGGGACAGGGCAAAATTGTACCTACACTGGCTGCGTAGCTGATCTCAATGACTCGTGTCCTTCAGAGCTCAAGGTGATGAGCACAGACAGCGGCGACGGCGTCGCTTGCAAGAGTGCTTGCGAGGCCTTCCGCCAGCCTCAGTACTGTTGCACCGGCGAGTATGGCACACCCGATACTTGCAAGCCTTCTTCATACTCGGAGATCTTCAAGACAGCGTGCCCACAAGCCTACAGCTATGCCTATGATGATCTGACCAGCACCTTCACATGTGCGAATGCTGATTATACCATTACTTTCTGTCCTTCCCCTAACACTAGGTAAATCTACTTTACAAGCCTTTTCAACTTTTGTTTTAACACTTTTAACGTTAAAGGGTAATTTTGTCATGAAAAGAACGTTCTGTCGACAAAGGCAGTAAATATAAACGGTCGCGTGAAGCGTTTGTCCGTTATGGCGCAACTTTTGACATTGCTCTGGAAAATAAATAATTTGCCATCTTGTTATGTCGGCTGTGGCACATGTTGACATTTACGTGCTGATATAGCTAACCGTTGAGTTACAGGCAAAGCACTGGGTTGCTAGCATAGCCAATTAATTCTGAAGATTTGGTGTATAGTCACATCTCCAAGAACGAAAATCATAATTACAAATCTAGTTAAACAGTCGTGCCTCCTTGGAATGCTAGGTAGGGTGGGGTGTAGAACGGCCTTGTGGCCGTTCTGGCTGAAAATGATTAGCTGTCTAATTAATGCATGTCCCTGAACATGCATCAATCCACTGGGATAGGCATCGCGTTTTGATTCCAAACCCGCAAATTGAGACCAAGGCTCTGCCAGACTGAACACTTGCACGCCAATGAAAGTTCTATTATTGTAGTTGTAGTTAACGGGCAGTTCAGGGAAATAGGAAGTAATATAAATAAACATGTTGGCATTTTTGTCGACATATTTGCTTTTTCTGAGTTTTTGACGGTTAATGTTAGTACGTAAATTGCAGCCAGAAATCATCGCAAGGGCAGAACACAACGACAACGACAACGTCATCTCTTACCAACAGCACAATGGTTTACCAAGGTGCCTCGGACGACAGCGCGGCATCATCGGCCACGTGCACCCACGTGTTCGGATCACATGCGATTGCGGGAATCGTTGGCATCACATTGGCGATTTGGTGGTCGCGACAACTCTTCTACCTTGTTGACTAACCTTATCTGTAGGGCTAGGGGCCACATAGGGCCGTAAACTTAGAAATGTTATATTAGCAAAGACAGGCAGAATATAGCTAAGCCCCATCTAAACTTTGGTCCATTGGGGTGGTTGGTGATGTCCGTATCATTAATGGGCGGGCTTGACTGATGATGACGTGGAATCTAGTCATGACAGAAAAAACTCACCCGTCAATTAAATCGAAGCCCCCCAGCCATTTGCTCTATCTATAACAATCCAATTGCCAATATGCAGAGTGGTGGGAGTTTTTTTTTTTTTTTTTTTTTTGGGGGGGGGGGTTGTTTGAAGGGCCAAATGCACGAAATCGGAGGCTGTTAGGGTTGAGAAATATTTTTCTATTTTTATTTTAGGTTCAATTTTTTAAATTATAAAAAGGGATGGAATTCATTTGATTGCTGGTTTTTACGAATCTATCAATTAGATTGTGTAAACTACTATCACATTTGCTTCCAAGAAAAATGAATTATTTTTATTACCAATTTTTCTCTCCATATTTTGTTTTTTGTTGGATTTTCTCATCATTTTGGATCACATATTCCAACGACAATATCTTTCAATTTCTATTATTTGTAAACCTTTTAGCAACAGCGTGCTGCATGCAACTTTTTTGATAGCAATAGCTGTGGAGGATAAGATGATCTTTTTACCTAATTTGGTGACTCGTGTAAAATGTGATGTTAAGAGACTATGAGCTAAAGCATTTAAATTTGCAATCAATATTATTGGATTAATTTTCAAAAAAAAAAATGGCGGTGGTGTGGGAAAGGGGAGTGGGGCCTTGGGGTGGCGGGTATATGTTCAAGAAAAGAGTCGACAATTCACTTAAAAATGAAAAAAAAAGAAAAAGAAAGGGAAATATTTAAAAGTATATATATATATATATATAGTTTGAATAATGAATATAAACATACTAGTTTGATCCACATTTCACAAATTTTGATGTTTAAGTTTTTCATCAGTTTGAAAGTTCAACAATACTAAAAAAATTGGTTCAACCATTATGGAGGTTACCATTAATTCTGTGCATGATCGCTGGCAGCCAGGCACATTTTAGTTGAATGGATAACTGATAACGGCCCATATTGTCGGTGGCAATGTGTACAAATAAACAGAAAACAAACCATAAGATTTAGTCCAACGTCCTAAATTACATGAATAAACAACCAGTTATTTGAGAAAACATGGTTGCAATTGAGGCAACCTTCTTCCACGCATTTTATCTTCTGGTACTGCCCTTGGCCTCCATAGATTTATTAATACCTCATTCGAGTTCAATATAATAATTCTCTCACAGTTTCAATCACAAAAGCAGCAATAATGCATTTGTGAAACCTTATTCATACATATTTACAAGTAATCCTGTTTTAATTAGGCCAAAATATAATATTATTATTTGGGCAAATAAGTTTTGCTTAATTAGATGCTCTAATTGGTTGCAACATGCATGTTAACATCAATTAGTCACAGCCACAGTGATTTGATCCACCATGGTCGCACATCGGTGCTTTCGTCATGCGCATGGACGCATGCTAATGCTTATCCATTCCAGGGCAGCGGAAATTAGAATGCTCGATAGTTGCGTGATTAACCTTTGCCCGGACAACAATGCGTACACTAAAGAGATAGATGAAACGTCTCTATTTGCACGATCATTGATATTGAAAACAATAATAAAATTATATTGTAATTGTAATTGAAATAAAATTATTATAGTTAATTTTGAAAAAAAAATTAATAAAAATTTTATATTAAATAAATTTTATTAAAATAAATATTTAATACAATGAGTTCAATTGTATTATACTGAAAATATGATAAAATTTAAAATAGGGCCTTAGTCTCCATTGCTAAGCTGGTGACGCTATGGCCCCACTTTGCTAATAGCCCACGCTCAAAACTGTTATGGCCGAGGAGACCGGGAATCTCCATTAATTAATGGGGGATCAGGTCGTTCTCATAAGCTAACGTTGGTAAAATCTCACAAGACAAAACAAAGTTCACGGCCGCCAAGCCATTCCAAGGAGCAAAGGGGGTAGTCAACAGAATATAGATGATTTATTGGTTTCAACCGTCGAATTCCAGGGGGTAAATAAGCTCAAATCCAGCAGTTTTTAGAGCACGCAGGCTGCAATTTATAGTTTTTATCACTATTAGTCTTGAGTGTGATTCGGACTCTGTATTATTATGTGCATGTTTGAAACAGACAAAAATGCATGTGGTTAGATGTCTGCTTTTTTTATATTTTACCTGCCTAATTGTATAACCTGTTGAATTTGCCAAAATTTACCTGATCCCCTCTTTTAGGTAAAACATAAGTCCAGGTTCTGAAGAAAAAGACAATTTATGTTTTGTTGCATTGAACCTTTGATTATTGGGTCTTTGTTAAAAATTCTGTTTGTCAAAGTTGATGACCCCGGCTAAAGGTTTGGTGGTGTGGCGAGTCTCGTCATGATCAGAAGTCAGAGAACATGTTGGTAGTCCAAGGGAAGCATATGCTTTGCTTGAAGAAGAGAAAACAGCACGCTATTTGTTCATTTGTCTTGTCAAACTCAAGATTCTTATGTGTACTAATGGATAAGGTTGCTTTAGAATAATAATACCACTGCTTCTTATAATCCTTGTTTACTATTAAACTTTGAAAATTAAAAGCTTCGCCATTTTTGACTAAGCAAGAAAGATGAATTACTTTTATTACCAATTTTCCTCTCCATATTTTGTTTTTCGTTGGATTTCCTTATCATTTTGCATCACATATTCCATCGACAATATCTTTCAATTTCTATTATTAGTAAACCATTTATCAACAGTGTGCTGAATGCAACTTTTTTTTATAGCAATAGCTATGGAGTATAAGATGATCTTTTTTACCTAATTTGGTGACTCGTGTAAAATGGGATGTTAAGAGACTATAAGCTAAAGCATTTAAATTTGCAATGAATATTATTGGATTAATTTTCTCAAAAAAAATTTGGATTAATTATCCGGAATTTGTCATGAACATTCTTAATTAGTCCCAATATCCAAGTACAGAATTTCTGTTCTTTTAAATTCCTTTTTTTTTTTTTTTTTCTGAAGTTTGTTCAGGAGCCTAATGCACTTTTAATAGTTGGATCGTAGGATTCTCTTGTAAAATATGGGACTACGGCCCATATTGTCTTGCAATGTGTACAAATAAACAGAAAACAAGCCATAAAATTTAGTCCAGCTTCCAAAATTACATGAATAAACAACCACTTATTTGAGAAAACATAGTTGCAATTGAGGCAACCTTCTTCCACCCATTTTCTCTTATAGTACTGCTCTTGGCCTCCATAAATTTATTAATATCTCATTCGAGTTTAATATAATAATTCTCTCACAGTTTCAATCGTAAAAGCAACAATAATGCATTTGTGAAACCTTATCATTCAAATACAGAACATGTTGGTAGTCCAAAGGAATCATATATTTTACAAGATCACCATAATTGTGTAATTATCGAGTTAATCTTATTATTAAAATAATTTTATTTGATTATCAATTATTAATAGTTAGTAATTAAAGATCTATTTTTGTTACTACTAATGATTTTATATTAATTTGTAAAATATTAATAATCTTTTATTTATTTTATAATAATAATAATTAAATTAATAAATATATTTATTATGTAAACAAATTAATAATAAATATATCAAGGTGAACTTATTTTTATAATATAAATTATGTAAAAATATATTTGAATTAAAAAATTAAACTAATCTGCTAAATGAATAAATATATTATATATAAAATATTAAAAAACACACAAATTATTTTTTATTTATTACCATGAATATTAGTTTTAAAATATAAAATTATTATACAAATTAATTAAAATTTTTTAAAAAATAAGTTTTTAATTCACATATTAAATACGTAAAATTATATATTATTAATTTTACATATCACTTTATCTTAGTAATAAAATTTTTTTACTTTTTTGGATGAGATTATAATCACTTTCCAAAATAATAATCTGATTATTCTTGATGATTCAATATTATCACCACATAAAATCGTACTTGTCACACAATGATTTAATTATTATGTATAAATTAATATGATTTTTGAAATGATATTCTCGTACTAAACTTCATTTTAAATCGTGCTACAAAAGTTACCGTCCTTAATTTAAACGTATTATTAAAAGATGTATCTATCCATGGACATGGTTCTCCTCTTTCCAAAACTTAGCATGTAGTTGAGCTTTAGATGTTTGATTGATTCACAACAGCTGGCAAGATTGATGCACTCTTCCTTAGTTGCCAAATGGTGACCAAGAACGCTAGAAATATTTTCTCCCCTGAAAATATAAGAAATCATTACTGATTCAATTGAAGTCATGACAAACCGATGTAAAGTTTTCGTCTGTATTAGCTCCTTGTGAGTCACCAAATGAAGTAAAGGTCCAGTCATAAAAGATTCAACTAAAAATGGATGACTGTTTACCAATCGGATATACTTTTACCTTGTCTCAAGAGACATCTATCTTTCTCAAATAAAATAATCTAGAGGATTTATTTGATATATGAAAAAAGATGAGTCCATCAAGATAAGAGAAGTTTTGCCAGAGGCATGGGCACATAACACACATTCTTGTAATAAAAGTCAACAATCAACTAATTAGAGTTGTAGTGCAATTCTAGGATCCTGCATACAAGTGTTTCATCTTTAATAAAGCTGACATGACACCAATCATCGAAGAATATTTAACTTTGTTGGGCCTGTATTTCAAGGCTCTTGATAAGATATATGTCAAAAAACACAAGTCAAGATTTCGTAACGATTTGGCCCATTTCATGAGGATAGACAAAGAGATTACGGATTCTCATATAAAGAAGAAATAAGAATAGGTTTCCTAGTGCAACATGCCAACGAAAAACGGGGGTTAGATATATTTGTCTTAGCCATATACGAAATGGTGATATTTCTAAAAGTTATGGGTTATATTGAAATAGCAGTGACTGACTTCTTCAAAAGTGTGATCAATGGTTGTAACCATTCAACGATAATATTAGCAGAGACTGTTAGATCTTTGAGTTACTGTCGTCAAAATGGAAGACATTTTATAGGCTGCATATAGTTATTGTATCTATGAATGAAAAGCTACTTTGAATGGAGAAAATATGCTTTCTTGAAACTTTATGTTTATAGTCGAGCTCCGATTAAGAAATTTTATGAAAGTGGGTGGTCAGAACAAAAGTATAAGAAAGGGTGAGTAGCTGTCTTACAAAAATTGACAAGCACTGAAGTAAGATGATTGGTCCCATGGATGAATCATGAACCTATGCTATATCAGTATAAAGATAACATTATGGTGCCACTATTGGGTTTATAAGGAGTAACAAGTTATGCACCACTTCTAGTGAGAAGACAGATCGGGGTAGAATTGTTCATTCCTATGACGCATGAGCTTCATTAATCATATTTTTCTTACAGTGAGCCAAAAGCATTTCAGAGGATGAATGAGGTAATTAAGGCATGAAAAAACCCTCGTAGAGTGAGTCTTGTACTATTCACTGATAAAGTCACTCAGAGGTACTTGGTTTGGAGAGTAAGACGAAGATAAAAAATGATATTCACTTATAAAAGTTTTCAACCGTCAACAGGAGAAATGCTAAAAAAAAATACTATCAGAATTATAACTTGCAA